CCGTATGCGTCTTGGATGCCAGAACTGGATCGGTGCGATGAGTTCAGCAGCATCCCAATCAACTTTGTGGTCATTGATGTGGGAATGTTTGACAATCGCCGATTTGTCAAAATCTCCTCGCCGTCCATGTGCTCTGTGTTCCTTGAGCCTGGTGGGAAGGTTCCGACCCGTTTCCCCGATGTAGACTTTGCCGCATTCACATGGAATGCGGTAGACTCCCGGCTTGGAAGAGGAGTCCTGCTTGTCCTTGTGAGTGTGGAGGCTGCCTTGGAGCTTGTTGCCTGATGAGTGGTACACCTTGACGCCGGCTTGTCGGAGGATGCGTTGGAGATGATGAGAAGCTGGACCTATGTATGGAAGAGTGACTGAGGGAGATACATTGGAAGGACCTTGGGTAGAGGAGACCCGTTGGTCAGGTTTGCTGATCTTGATGCGGTTGGATTTGTAGCCATTCCGTTGTAGTGACGCCTGGATGTGCTCGAGTTCACGCTTGAGGTTGTCTCGGTCGCAGACATCAAAGGCTCGCTGTACTAGGGTCCGGTTGACTGATGACTTGATGCTGGGGTGATGAAACAACCGTTCTTGATTATCAAGTTCTTGATTATCGAGCTTTACAAAAATGTACTTCTATTTTTTTATGAATATTTCTTATTTACATGACATCTTTTCTCCTATTGAATGGAGTTCTTGATTATCAAGCTTTACAAAAATGTACTTCTATTTTTATGCCCCGCGGCGAAGCCGAAGGGGCATACTGTTTCCGCCTTGTCCTTCCGTGGGTGGGTGTGTGGGTGTGTGTGTCCGGACAAATCTTGTCTGCGCGATAACTTGAGAAATACTTAACATATGAACTTCAAATTTGGTCTGTGTATTGTTCTTGGTAATCCTAAGAAGCCTATTGCATTTGGGGCCGAAAGGTCAAGGGTCAAGGTCACAGTGGCTGAAACAATAGAAATTTTGTCAGCGCGATAACTTGAGAAATACTTTACATATGAACTTCAAATTTGGTTTGTGTATTGTTCTTGGTAATCCTAAGAAGCCTATTGCATTTGGGGCCGAAAGGTCAAGGGTCAAGGTCACAGTGGCTGAAACAATAGAAATTTTGTATTCTGAGATCATAGGGATTAGGGATTAATTCATATAAAACCTACAGAAGACACTAATGCTGTCAATTAATGAACGTTCCATGTGACCAAGGTACATGTAAGTTGATGTTAAAAGAGTGGTGTTATGTCATGGGAACAGTCACGGTTGCGGGGCATTTGTGTTTGTAAACACACCTGACTTGTTTTATGAATATTTCTTATTTACATGACATCTTTTCTCCTGATTGAAGTTTTTGGTTTCGTACACTAAACAAAACACATAAGGGTGTCCGAGTGATCTTGCAACAGTTTGTAGATCTATGTGTTTGTGTAAGGTACATTGTACATGTAGTAGTAGATGATTGACCGTATGAGACCATGACCAATAATATCCTTCCTGTAGGGGCCTAGGATTGTCTGAATCACCCCAGGGGATCTCAGCAGGCTCAAATGAACAAACATTGGCTAACCTCTAATCATTGACTACACTACAGATACATGTATACTTCAACCCAATTATGGAGCCAATTAGAAATACTCCATGCCTTTGTTTTTTCTGTAAATATGGAACATTCAGGCCGAACAGTTCAGTGAAGGTTTCACATACTGGTATAATATACATCACTGTACACAAAGCAATTTGGAGGTATGCTTGTAAGCTACTGGGTACATGCACATGTATTTCTTCATTAGTCAATTCTGAAAAAGAAATCAAATGACATAGGTACCATCACATCACCTTTTTAAACCTCCTTTCAGAGCCACTTCCAAAAAGTTTTAGAAATTGGATCTGCTAAAGCCGTAAAAGCTTGGCAATTCCAGCATTATAAAAGGAAGTTTAATGTCCTTGACATAGCCAATTAACCATGATATCTAATTAGTGATTCAGAGAAATGATCCAAAACTCCTAGTCTGTAATCTCCTGGACCATTACTAGATGATGAATATATAAGATTTGAAAAAAAAATACATTTTCAGGTTTATTCACTCTAGCTCTTAACAGCTCTGTCACGGACATTACATAATGCTGGAATTGCCCCTGTCAGTCTTTTATACTAACTTGGTTTACTTTAGGATATCTTTTAGTTAACCTTTTGATTTAATTCCCAATAACACACAAACAAGCGTGAGTGCACAATAAGCTCTGGCCCGGTTCCGGAATGTCTCACTTCATGTGCAAAATAGAGACGCATGCGCATCGATCTAGACGAAGGGGTGTGTACCGAAAACTTTCCCCCAGAGTGCATTTACTGACGAAGGCATTGCATTTGGTCAATTGGTAGTTATATTTTATGGGAAACTTAAAGGGCTTGTTTTTGGTCAATTTTCCGGGGACAGACCTAACGACTGACTGACCGACAAACCGACCAACCACAAAGTGACATGTAGAAGCTCCTGCCAGAGCTTAAAAACTCACACAGAGAATACTTTTTTATTTTCAAAATAAACTTATTTTAAATTTTTGGCCAAATGTGACAATCGAACGTTTGAGGTCGGAAATTTGGCAACAAAAAACCCAGGCAGGATGGGTTACCATAAACACACAATTTTTTCTTGGCCTTAATAACTTCTTGATGTTAACACTTAACTCTTGAGGTTAACACTTAGCTTTCCTTCGTCAAGTGACAATGTTAAAAGTGACACAGAGAGAGGGCTGTTCATTTGGAATAATTTAGCATTCAATTATTCGAAATTGCGTTTGACCGAATATTCGGATATTTGAAACTGCCTGCTGTAACTGCATGCTGCGCCAGTAAAAAGATGCATGGATAGCGCGCCAGTTAAAATTTGCATGCAGCAATCGATGTGGGGCACTGGAGTGTTCTGCAGTAAGTATTTTATTACTGTAAAGGGCTTTAACCTGCTAAAAGGAAGTAAACAATGATTCACCATTGTTGACAAAAAAGGTAGAGTCGACATACAAGTGGCACCTGACAATAAAGCTCAGCAACTTTTCAATAAAATAACATCACATTCGTGTGTACAATGTATGTGTGTAGTTTGTTGTGTTTTGGAATATTCAAACTGGCAAAAAGCTATCATAATATTCGCTTGATGATCAATTTGAATATTCGACATATTTTTTATTCGCGAGAGCTCTACACAGGGAATCTGTATTTTTGAGCTGCACTGATTTTTTTTGCGAATAACAATGTTGAGAATCTCACCAGAGACGCAGAAAAAACTCACAATAACACACCATAAGACACACAGCCAGACTTGTAGTGGACATTGATAAAGTAATAGCAATTAGGGTACCAACAAATATGATTTTGTAACCTAGTCTTACTATCAATAATTTGGTTGCCTTAGTCTCAGGGCACAGACAGGCAGAGAAGGAGGCCTAAATGTATTTGTTCAAGCAAAGCTGTGCAAATGATGTTGTCATGAACAGCATTTTCACTTTTATCTTTTTCTGTGCGTCTGTATGAGACTTCAGAACAGGACAGTGCACACTTGGACAAGGCTCTTTGACAAGATAATATTTCATTGCATAGCGCAGTTGCATTGTACATTCTATTGACTGATTTAAAGGGGACTAATAGTCATACTGCTTTGAAGTTAAGCATGTTTTGGCTTTATTATTGACACCAACTACATGTACATTTCCTCGTGGATTAAATGTGCTGTACATTTTGTTATCGTGGCTGGTACACATAAGTACTGTGCATTCTCTCAACCAAACCTTGATATTTAGCTGTGGTAATTTCTTGAATACAATCATACATACATTTTGAGTGAGCATGAGGATAATGATCAATATTTTATTATTTCATTCAAATAAGTCTTTTACATGTAAAAATCAAATAACTGACAAGGTATTACAAAACATGTAAAAGTAGAGTTCTTTGTCTTTTGGGCAGAAAATACATGTTAAGAAATTCAGTTAAGACTCTGGTTACATGTATTTCTGTATGTTTGGTATTTGGACAGATCATTATTACAATGCTACTTAAACAGAATTACTGATTGCAAAGATAAAGAGTTAATTGATTAGACTAAAAGTATGAAGTAGCGGTATGTACATGTTTCACTTGGACAAAATCTGCTCATAATATCATGGATAATGTATATATATTCGGGTATATAAATTCACAATTCACAAAGTAACAGAAACAAGAGTGCTTTTTTCTGATAATGGCCATTAGGAGAGTGTTTGGCAGTGACATTTGGAAGTATTGATTGCCATCATCTTTTTGCCATGATGTCATGACCATGCACAGAGCAGGCCCAATCGCCTCCTTCATCTGCCAAGATCTTGTTACATGCTCCACCACTGACACTTCTGGAGGATGAGATTTAATAACAAGCCAGCTAGCAGCGCTGTTGAGGGCTGCTAGTGCATGGCTATATTAATCCAAGCAGTTTTGAATTACATCTGTGAGGCTGTGGATTTGTAGCCATTGTACAATCTGCCAAAGACTTGCTAGCAGTCTATTTAATATGTTGATGGTGCACTCTAGTTTGCTCCAAGTCATCAGCTACATTATTGATGGGAGATTGATCTCTTATATTAGTGTGTTCCTCAGGCTAGAGTGTGAAACCTTCGTTGACTGTGCATGGAAACAGTCTGTGTCTGCTGGAATTATGAAACAAGTATTGTAGAAATTCTTTACATGATCAGTCTCAACTGTTTTTCATAGGCATTGCTTTCTTTTCCCATTCACGTTTGCTGAATAAAAATGCCTCTTTTTTAAGAACTGGTCCTTTGCCTAAACTGTCTGTGTACTTCATTTGGCCAAGTGTCATTCAACCAGTAGACCCATTCAAGAATATAACAGCTCACTGCTTTGCAGGGTCCCACCCTCAACACCTGGACTGCATATTCATGAGATGGAGCCCATTGGTTGTTTAACTGCATATTAAACATGGTGTTGTTCAAGCATGAGCTGTCAGATTACAGTAGGGAAGTTGAGCATGTTTAGTAAGGTTACAGTCTTTGTGTGTGTGTGTGTGTTGGCTAATACTACCGGTAAAAGTAACACTAACAGTGAAAAGTGACTGATGATGAATAGCTGTGGTGTGGATCTATGCATAGATGGTAGACCCTTAATCAACCATAGCATGGGTGTTATGCCAGGTACGTACAATGTATGTTTGGGACGGACGTTGAGCTAGCTTCTCAGATACTTATTGTACATGAACATGGACTGTACTGTACTAGTGTTACAATTTTTGTCATCTGGCATATAATTTAGACCAAATAAAACAAGTTATACAGTTACATGAAAACTTTCAACATCTCTTAGTATCAAATATTTGTAAAAGTAGTAGGCTCCAGTGCTGAAAATGCAAACTATCAATAACATTTGTCTGCTGCTTGATGGTGTGTGGAAATCTATTTTCATTGCAGCACAACATTTTCTAAATTGCTGATAATTTTCACAGTGTTATAGAAATTTATAAGTTCAATACCTACTAGTACATGTACATGGATCTGAAGAAAGACAAATGACGTCAGTTGCATTTACTTTAATATATGGCTTAAAATTCCATGTAATATGTGGCCATGGACCCATGCATACATACCGGTACAGTAAAAGGCAAACCATTACCGTTAGGCATTAAGGATCGACACTTCAACACTATTTCCATCACATGTCCATGCTGAAATGCAAAGAATGGAGAAATCTCCTAATAATTTATTGCGTGTGCATGTATGCATGTTTTAAAACAAGTTTTACACTCCAATCTGATTCCAAAGTGAACATTTTGGAGAAAAAAAGCAAAGCATGCGAGGAGACACTCCACAGCATTATTTTCATGGACATGTACATGGACATGTACATGTATACGCATGTACATGTACATGTACATGTACAACCCAAGTCAAGTACAACTACAGGTATGATGATGACGATGATCATCCCTCATGACTACCCGTAGGTAGTCAGTTTATTGATGCAAGAGGGTCTGCAGAATACCGAAGGTAAAAAGGTCTGGCTTTTATGTCCACAAACAAGTCATATTTCACAAGGGCCATGACATTAAATAATCAGGATACATGTTGATTTTGCAAACACGCTTGATCATTTATCAAATTTATAAAAACATCAGGCAATGCTTGTATCCAAATACTATTCATCTTAAAAATGCACCAGCAATGGCAAGAGAAACATTATGAACATGTAGAAGACGACTATAAATGAAAAAGAATGAGATGGTTTACTCCAATGAAGGTTGTTAAGTTATTATTAAACAACTGAGGATTACAAGTGAAGGTTAGTGAGGTTTAAAGCTGGCTGTTGTAAGTGGTGTTAGGGCTGTGCATCGGAACTCTGTAGGGTACCTGAGTACCGGACCGCTGATGTCAAGAACCGGTTCCTGATTTACAGATTGGGCACCCGTAAGCAACTTTACAATTACTTAGTAACTTTTCAGACAATCAAAAAGAATGGTTTCGAAAGTCATTTGGGAGAATTTTCAAAATGAAATCCAGGCTACATAGAAAAACAAAACAGATGTCACGTTTATGACACTCGCGAAAGTTGCAGTTTTCACAATAAAGCTATAAGTTCACTCTACACACATGAATTGCTGCATTGACGCACCGATGTGGTAGTATTATCATACGGACCTTTATGAAAAATCTGAACAGAAACTTCCGAGATGTGAATTTTGGAATTGGGTCTCTTTAGCGGGTACCCATGTTATTTTTCAATAGGGTATCCGCTTCCCGTACTACCGGTAAATGCAAACCCTTTAGTGGTATGCACAAAGCTTATTGTTATGTGCCATGGTATCACATGGTGAATTTTCATTGGATATGAATTGTTCTTGAAGTCATGTATTTTGAGTGGCTCAGAAAGTTTAAATTCATTTATTTTTTAAGTGAGAACCTGACAGGTCTTGGCAAGGAAAAAGTGTGTTTTGTGCTATGTATGTTAATATAAAATTCACTAAAATTTATCACTACCATAGACTTTCCACTGAACTGTATACTATGTGGCATTTAATTAACCCCTAATAAAAGTTACGAAAAGTCACCAAATGCCAATCGGTCAAAGTGTTCCAGAGCTAATATTTTTTACACATGTACCCTAATAGAAATACTTAGTGATAGGGTTAAGTACAGGTAAAATGACCAGTTGGCTGCGTGCCAAAATACTCCTTCTCTCCTTACATGTACTTAAAAACCAAACGTAGGCTGAATGTATGATTAGGCCCTTTTTTGGCCTTAGTCATTTTACTACCTTTTCACATGCAAAATAAAAGTGTTATTGTGGGTCTTTGTTTTTAATGCAGAGAGAAACCATGGAACTACCCAATTGTTGTACGCCCGAGGGGTACCATTTGCCCCAAGGCATACAAAACCCATGGATTTTATCAACAGACAACAATGGTTTTGTTATACCGTGGTTTTATTTTTTTTAATTACTTGTTTGAGTATTTTAGAGGTAGGGCCTACATGTAGCAAAATGATAATTAAGATGTCAATTTTGTTAAAACAGGATGTATTTTTGTTTTGACACCCTGATGCATATAAATTTATCAGTCCAATGCTTATGCCGGGGATAAAATGGGTGTTTGCCTTGACACACGTAGGCAAACTGGAGAAAAAAACTTATTTTACTCGCACTGTGAATACTCTTTCAACCCAATTTCTGAGATACTGCATACAATTAAACTTCTGAACATGTTGACATGTCCACATGCCAGGCACATGTTCCTACAGAGTATTACAACTTGCTGTTAGTTCAGTTGGGATATTGTATCTTACCCAGTATCTCCTCCCATGCAAGATGCTCAGCCTGGCTAGTTACGGAAATCCTTTGATGCTAGTCATGATGAATACCAATTTCAATCATGAATTTATTAATTTTTGCTGCAGGTATTCATGTAGAAGGTCCTGGCAACACATGGAATAGTCAACAAAGTTCAAGTTTTGATTCAAGGGTAAGTCCTTTCACGTACAAATTTCTCTTTTATTTTTATATCTTCAAATGGATTCTTGCACTTTTTTATGGAGGATTTGTACAGTCAAATGGTGGTTGGAAAAAAACACCTTTTACTGGCCTTTTTATTTTATTTTTTTGCTTTTGTCATTGTTATTTATAAAGAAATGTAATGATGTGCACGCATTGATGTAAAAATTGTCTTAAAAAGTTAAATTAGAAGAAAGCTAAAAGAAACTAATTACATCTCAATCTCAAAAACCAACCTTGGTCTTTCAGTCTCTTACCGGTATGTGCATCCATCCCCACATAACCGGCATGCTTATAATCAACACTGTACATTTACGCTATACATCTACAAGTCACCGGTATAGGAAGCGTCACTGAATTGGATTAATGCCATCATTTTCCTCAACCTTCCCCAACATTTTCACTGACATCCAACCCAATTAAACTTCTCACAAAGTCTATCAAATCTGCCCTGATTTCAAGAGGTGAACAGACTAGAAATGTTGAGGTTGCATCCGTTGGGTTTTAATTTTGTACATTGTTAGTAATATGGGGAAGAGTAATGTTAAGAGGTAAATTGTCAGATAACATAAACGGTAAATGGTTGAAGGCAGGGGTTTTCCTTAACTTTTTCCTTTACTGGCCGGCCGGGCCAGTAAACCAGAGTTTTCACTGGCCTGCAACCTTTTTCACTAGCCCACATGTTTTAATAGTAACTTTCAATCAAATCACCATAAGCATTTTTGATAACATTTTTGATAATTAATTATGCAATATGAATACAATCGGCAATTATCTTAATCATGTACATAATATTGCATGTAGTTCCTTTTTAAGTGATGTCAATGTTTCTTTAATCGTCCATGCTTTAACATAGAGCAAGGCTTTAATTAACAGGAATCAAATAGGGGGAGAAGTTATAATCAAAATTTATGCAGTGTGCTTCGTTCCGAACTTAAGGCTTTAGGTGTTCTATTTCCGACATGTTTTGATAAAACACGAACTAAAAAAGCGTTATCTTGAGGAACAAGAAAACATTGCACACAGTCGTGGTATTAATGGGAGTTTACCAAGTTAGTAACTGAACTGTTTTAACTTGTTTGAAAATGAGTGAGAAGGCTAGTATTTTCAAAAAAACATCTCTCGCGCGCGCCATGCATTTCTAGCGAAGAATGGTGCAATCAGCGTGCCTAGCCAAGAAGCGCTGCGGGCGGGCGACCCACGAACTTACGCTGGTCACGTCAATCCATAACGTTTTCCGGAGCACGGTCCACTTTACATTCACTAGTCTTTACATTCAAAATAGGCCCCTCGAATCTCATATTGTCCTCATCTTTTCGGTACATTCGTTTGATAGTGTTCAAGAAATCAGCCGAAGAATCCGTTCGGGGCACAAGTTTTGGCAGACTGTCATGAAAGTTTTCTCCTCACCACGTTGTATGATACGAATACGATGTTAACGTACATGTACGTACGTCCGTACCGTGTGGACTGCAAACGAAGTAAATCACATGCGCTGCATGTGTGCACAATATGTAATGGCAAATTCACGTTGATTCGCCTCATGTTCAGTTCGTCGTTATGATTTCAATGCACAGCGCACTGCGAATATACATGGAGTGATACGAATTCGAACTACCGATGTTTTTATTTCAGTCGGCGTGGCAAAAGTATTCATGTGTTGTATCACCCTTAACTTTTTATTTTGATTGATTGAAAAATACTGTAGGGAAAACTTCGTTATTTTTATTTTTTTTAACAGTTTTTTGACTCGCCCGTCGGACTACTGAGAGGAGGGTTTTGACTCGCCCGCCGCTGTTTTCACTCGCATTTGGCGAGCGGGTGACCGCTAAGGATAATCCCTGGTTGAAGGCAAATTTTTTTTAGGGGCTGTCCAAAGTTCTCAACATTTTCATGGTCGAACAAAGCTTACGATCGAGGGGGGGGGGGGGTAGGTCGGAGGCCTCGTACGACTTGAAAAGGTGTTTAAAAATTCTGATATTTCTAAGGTAAAACTACACTGGAAAAAAGTAAAAAAGTAAAAAAGTGAGAACATAAAATTCCCCCCCCCCAAAAAAAAAATACCGGCAAGTTAAAATAAAGAATGAAAACGCATTTATAGTGTGTTTTTTGTCTTACTGAATACATTTCTCAATAGTTTTTTGAACATAAAAAAACACTTTGACATTTCTACTGTTCATATTTATTCATTTGCATACTTTCAATTGCTATGCCCTATTGGAAGGAAACCTCTGTTGATTTTTTGCCTTTTAAAAGAAATCCTCCGTAGCCAAGAATCAGCAAAAGAAGATTAAATATTCTGCAATTAAATGTAGGATTCGATTTAAAACAAAGGAAGACACCTCTAATTTTTTGGAGAATTAGAAAGAAAATGACTGCCGTGGTCCTGTCTGGAACCGCGTCATCGTGACTTCAATTCTAGCGCGCCATCCATCAGGCCAAATGTTTGCTGGAGTTAAGATGGTAATTTCATATATTACATGTATATGGCTTGCTTGTATAGGTGTGCAAAAGTATGAGCACCTTGGGAATATAAATGAACACACCAAAAGTCACATTAACTGTGAAAACTGATATTTCAGAGAAATACAACATGAAGACTCTGAAAGTGTTTTCATGTAACAACCTGTGTCATCACACACGTACGTAGCCTACACTTGAGCGATACCAAAAGTACAACCATGCTTTCATGCATGTTTGAAAGCGACATGCCCAGTGTGTTATGCAACACCATTCACATTGCACATACTACATGTACCGTACGTGTATGCATCAAAGATCGTACGAATTTTGGTATGCATGAAAACAACTCACAACTCATTCATGGCTGTTTAGCGTACGACTCATTGGGACCATAGAGCAAGGACTGACCAAGTATCGCACCAAACACAAACCCTCAGTTACTGGCAGTGACCATGTGCAGCGAAGATGAACTGAAAGTGCACAGCAGAGGGCAGAGACTCAATTCATGTAACAGCCAGACAACAGTCATTGGAAGCAGAAAGTGCACGCGAAGAAAAATCAGGCGAAAATGACGACGACCGGAAACTGTCTGAATCTACCCACGACTGATTCCACATTTTCCCGCATTTTTCCGCGTGAATTTGATGGTGCGGGAGCCGGTAGCCTTGGAGCCTATCCTGGACAAACATTTTTTGGAATCTTTGTCGTATAGATGCGTACGTGTAATGCACATTGGGGTGTACTGTAAACACAAGAAGACAAGGAACCATACTATCAATATGTTAACATATGATATCAATGTTTGCTGTGTTGTGAAGTAATACCGGAAGTGACATTATTTGCAGGGTGGTCGTGGTAGTTTAACAGTGCGGGGCTGTTCCCATTGGACTTTTCAGTATCCTTTATATTCTACCCTGGCTGCGTGGAAATCTTCCACGACCACTTTCCGCCTGGTAGTTTTACATCACGGTCGCCGTAAGTTAACATTGATGTCCCCATTGGACTTGATGTTGTAATTCTACGGTACGATAAACCAAAACAACTCTTATGGGAACTCGGCTTACGGCTTTAGCCTTCAGGGAACCTCAGTCTCAGCAAGATTTCATGTTCTGAATGCACAATGTTTTGACTTTCTTGATATTCTGTTCTGTCTTGGGTCAATTTTCATTTTTTTGAAACAGTAGGCCTATCATGTGTTAGTAAAATTGATGAAGTTACCATAGAAAAGGACAGTACGGTGTAATAGTAGGTCAGCCAAATGTGGAAAAGTACCCTGGAGAATAATTTCACGGCATTTTTTGGTAATAGCTGGCATCCATGCTAGATCCTTTCTTTGAACCATAACAAACAACATGTGGGTGGATGCCACCGTTAATTGTTACCCTAAATATACCTAATTTGCATAAATCTTTAATACCTGACATGTAGTATATTTTTGCCCTTATTTGGGTATATCTTTTATTTTATGATTTTTTGAAAATTTTATTTTGGTGATTCTACTTCACATCCTTACTTCAATAACATTTTCTAACGCATATAAGTGACTGAATAATTATTAGGATATAGTAACAATCCAAAATGGCTCCTATTATACCCAAAAGTTGGGCGCATTTTACTTAGCTCCAAATATCTTCAAGAAGTTTTGCCAAACATCAGTATTGATGAGCTTCAAATTCACCTAGTTGCTTACTGGCACAGTTACCCTATTAAAACCTTATGGAAAATCATGTGAACAATGATAATAATATTGTGACATTTAGCCCAGCAAACAAAAACGGAAAACGAGGTGTCTGTTAATTAGCCTAATTAGTGAAAGGTTGCCTAACGTGAGAGACTTGAAAAAGTTCAAGGACATTCTCTAAATGATTAGAAAGAAAATTAATGGGAAAAAAAACATTTTGACACTGACATAATTATTACAAACATGTTTGGGTTTTTTTTTTTTGGGGGGGGTGTTTCTTGACCTTATTTAAGTATCCCATGTTAGGCGACCCTTCTCCTAATTTAAGCCCAGTTTACGAACAGCAAGCTCGTTTCCCCCGTTTTTGTTTGCTGAGCTTAATACCACAATGTTATCGTGTTCACATGATTTCCCATAAGGGTTTTAATAGGAACACTGTGCCAGTAAGCAACTTGGTGAATTTGAAGCTCATCAGGACTGAGGTTTGGCAAAACTACTTGATGATATCTGGAGACAAAGTAAATGTGCGCAATTTTGGGTATAATAGTAGCCATTTTGGATCGTTACTATGTCCTCGTGATTATTATGTCACTTACATGCTTAAGAAAATGTTAAGTAAGAGGGTGTAACTAGAATCACCAAAATAAACTTTTCAAAAAAAAAATTAAAAAATTAAGAATATACCCAAATATGGGAATAAATATATTACACTACAGGGATTAACAATTTATGCAAATTAAGTATATTTAGGGTCAAAATTAAGGGTGGCATCCACCTACATTTTCTTCCCTATCCTTTGACTGATTGATCTGACATGGTTACCTGCTATTACCACAAAATGCCGTCCAAAATGTAATATTCCACTTTGGCTGGTCCACTATAAACACTTACGTGTGTAAAACAATAATTTTAGTCATTTTAGACATTGAGGTCACCAAGACCAGCAGATTCAAGTAACTATTGCTTGATACAAAGATGAAATGAAATTAATACGCAAATGATTTCACATCTGGAAAATCATCTGACCTCTGAGTCTGAGCCTAAACGTTTTCTCACTGACTCCAAATCCAGATAGCAGCAGTGGTGAAGTTTTTTGACACAGGGATCATTCAGACATTGTTTTAAATTCCCTTAAAACAACGGTTGAACTCGATTCGGTGTAACTTTCTTGCTAAAACAATGTCTGAAAGCTTTTGTATTTCAACCGAATCGAGTTCAACTCGTCGTTAAAATGGCAACTGAAAACCCCTTGGAGGGAGGTTTTATCTCAAAACCAGAACAACTTTATTTCCTAAAACGATGTAAAATGGTTTTAGCTAAAACGCTTCCCGTTTTAGCCAGCACAGTGACCTGGAGTTATGTAACGCCTTCTCAGAGGCGCGCTTTTGTATTCAACAAACAATGTACTGTGGGCTGCATGGTGGGCACAAAGCACCCATGAATCCTACTGTCAGCCATTCATGAACAAAAATCCAACTTCAAGTCCAATCTCTGCAAGATTTCTGACCACATGGTCCAAGTTTCACATCCTTTTGGTGCTCACTCGCACACACGATGACAAACATGTAGATGCCAACGCAACAACCGCTAACCGGAGCACAATTATCATAATGCTCTGATACCTGGCAAACCTTGGCGCTGATTGGTCAATATTGCAACGTTAATATCGCATGTATTTTCACATGACTGACATGTGCGGGGAAGTTGATGCAGTAAACCTGGAGTGAAATCTGTTCAATTCTTAATGGTGTGTGGTTTCGAACACTGGTTTTGAACAACTTTTTACAACAGAATTATGTCTTTTTGCACCACGAAAGGTACAGAAAATAGCCCCCAAAATGTAAACACAAACGGTGAAAGGCCGATGTACGATACGAAATCGCCGCGGTGGATTTAAGTGTGACTATCGTAATGTTTACAGTGTGCCACACTATGACTGGCCGAGGCTAGGATGCCAAACACGGCAATACATCACGACAGTGAGAGGCTCGGACCACATGTACTGTAGCAAACTGTAAAAATGGAAGAGTGAAGGCTCTTTTTTAGCATGCGGTTTTTGCCGAGGCGGATGTTCTACTTGACCTTAGAATCTGAGATAAACCACTTCGAGTTGAACTTGCTATACTTAAAAGATGTCTGAACACTCGATATGTAGTTTTATTTTCACGACGGACCTCCCATGGTGAGCGACCATTTTAGTTAAAATGGTGTCCGAACATATCCCAACAGTGATTGAAAAACCCAAACCCGAACAAAACATGAATAACATAATAAACCAAAGAGTAGCTATTAGTTTGGCTACCAACATGTACATGTGTATGGTACATGTACTGGAAATGACCAAGATGGCTTATTAAGTATATTGCAATCAGAGGTCAAAACAGGGCAGCGAAATTGAAATATGATTAGGCCGGGGCAGAGGTGAGGTTTTCTGAGTACACTCAGTAAGGTGACCCTTGGTGGCCCTATCATATATTGGTAGATTGCCCGCTGGCACACAGTCAGCCCACAGAGACATGACTTTTCCAGGTTTCAGGTGACAGGAACTGAACAAAGGGCTGTGTTAGGCCATGTCTGGAATGGGTTGTCTCAGCGCTACTTGTAGACTACAAAGAACATTTAAATTATTGTCAAATAAAGTCTTTTATTTAGAAATTGCCAGTTACATGACAATCTGTTACAAGCAATTAGAATGACAGTTTATTCAAATTGTGAAATTGCCATCCGGCCTGAAATAGATGGGCAATACAGGGCGTCCTGAAAAAAATGGTGCATGTAAACCCCTCGATTTTTGCTAAGTTACAACCAAAATTTTCTGCAGATGTTTACACCATCTTCAAGGTAATAGATTTAGCTTGAGAATACCGTTTGTTTCATTGAGATTGCTTTTGTAAATCCAAAGATATGTTTGAATAACGGCAAAGCCTAGAAACCCATTTTGTGCCACTTTCTGTGAAGCAGTTAAAATCAGTATAAACCAAATCGCTTTACTGTTAGTGATTTTAACATTTTTAAGCAGAGTGTGCAATAGTTTTTTATATTTACATGTAATTGAACTCTTTCATTGAAGATTTAAAGAAGTGAACCTGTCTGTACTATTACATTGTTTCAACATAAGAACAAAACCCTATATTGTCGTGTTAATGGAATGTTTGTCTTACACCCATAGGGATAATCTTATCAAAAGAGCCATACTGGCATTGTCTGATCTTTGAAGCACTCGCTTCCTAAAAGTGGCACAGAATGGGTTTTTTTGGCTTTGCGGTTATTCAAACAAATCTTTAGATTTACAAAAGCAATCTTAATTAAACAAAAGGTATTCTCAAGCTAAATCTGTAACCTTGAAGATCGTGTAAACATTTGCAGTAACTTCCAGTTGTAAATTGGCGAAAATGGCGGGGTTTACATGCATGGGACACCCTACAAGTGATGAAATAAAGGTTTTGTTGTTTCTCCATTGGTTTAACCTACATGTATAGTCTAATCACCTTGTAGTTTCCATTTTAGTGCCAAGATAAAACCCTTCAAGGTGCAAGAATTGATGTTGTCCTGATGATCGTTCAAACAAATATGATTAATTAATATTCATATCAAATTAACCTTGTTTTCTTTATTGTATGCTCTTACTAGGGATACGAACACTCACACAGTACAACCTATGGCAACATGAATGACAGAATAATGGAAGGACTTCCAAATAGTTATACTCATTCATCTTCAGCTATGTCTTCAATAATGGGTATGTACATGAACATGTAGCTTAGTTTTTAATCTCCCTGAAATGGATTAAATTTAAATATTTCAGCAGATGTAATGGAACGTTTTTGTGCTTAGAAGTATGTGCACTAAATATGTCCATTCTAATCATCAGGTTGCTTCCAATACAGTCACTATGCACTCCATATGTATGTATGTTTTCAATACTGACAATATTTTCTGAAATAATTATATCTACATGTATATTGTACCTGTTTCAGACTAGCATTTTAGAGTCTCTCCAATCCACACTGGTCCTGAGATATGAAATAAGTTCAACTTGTACAGGGCTCGCGAAATCAGCTGCCCGACGTCCCAGGACAACCAAAATTTTCTGTCGGGACAACCAAAAGTTCCAGGTTGCCAGTAGTGCTGCAACTGATCAAGTTCGGTTCAGTTTGGTTCGGTTAGGTTGCGGTTCGATTTTTTTCTCTCCGAACTTCGGTTTGGTTTGGCTTCGGAAGTGCATACATAATGTACATGTCCATACAATGTATTGGGCTATAATGAACAAACATGTGTACCGTGCACGTCTGACAGAAATAGGCACCGCAATTTCCACATGCTATCCAACACAAGTGGAAGGATGAATCTTATTTTTGTTGTGTAAACAAAATTACGTTATAATTTGACTTGATGAAGTTGAAAAATGAACATCGTAAATTGCTACCTGTGTTACCTATCGCAGCCCTATCCGGCCCGGCAACTATGGGCTATCGTGTAGTCTAGCGCCCATTTCCTAACTTAAGGGGACAAAACAGGGGCCCTATGCTACATAATGCCCTATGCCATAAAATTTCCCCACACGTGCTGACGGTTTTCCCGACGAGTTCCCTCCCGTCCGAGCATGCCCTGATGAGCACTAAAAACTTGCTTCGTGGCAATAATTGCTGATTAGTTTTGTCCTAGGAACAAACAGGTCCTTTTACTGTGGCAAACTTATGAAACCATGATTAATTTTAGCAATAAGCTGACAAGTAGCTACCGTAGAAAATAATAACTTTTCGATTCGCGACTCCATAATGAATTCTCATTCAGCTGTGGAAAATGTGGACGGATCCATTTTGTAAAGGGTAGTTTTACCCTCTTTTGAGCGATTACATCGTTTTTTCGTATTCATTCTTTACGAAAAAAAAATATATTGCGAAAATTACGAACTATGGGAAAGGTTTCAGACTCCATAAAAATTATTTTTTTACTTCTGATACGGTGAAAAAAAATGAAAATTCTGGTGAATTTTGCCAATGAAACCCCCCCCCCTTCACAAACGTACTACGTCACCCTGGAACAAGGCGCAGCATGCAGGGCCAGATACTGACCACGCTGGATGAATGCAATGAGCATCGCTTTTCATTGAGAAAAGGTGCGTACGATTGTTTCAAAGCGTATCGGCCCGATATCCTATTTGTATGCCTGGCTAGAATTCACTGCAAATAATGAAGATGAATGCGGTGATTTGTCAACACGGTAAATTCAATCACCCGTGCATTTTATTTTTGCCCTTTCATTGCAAGCATTAGCATTCCTAGCGCTATCAACAAATACTTGCCGAACTCTTCCGAACCGACATTTGGGTTCGGTTCGGTTCGGGTTCGGTTCGGAAGGCCAATGTCGGCTATATTTAGTTCTGTTCGGCGGTTCAGCTGTAGCACTAGTTGCTAGCCCGACGGGCAACCCCATTTTTTTCACCAATACTCACACATTTTTACACTTTATTTAATTTAGTTCATGGGATTTTTTAAAGTTCCAGAATCCCATACAAGTGCACAACGTCGAACAATAATCATGATAATATCAACATTTTGACTCAGCTGCTACGCTATCGCCATTTGATGTTGGTAATCTACGCATAACCAATAATGGGTACCAGCCAAAACAGAACAGCAGTCAATCTCAATCTGTACATGCACGGTCCGGCTGCATCATGCAGTAACGTTTCGCGTACGTAATGTGTGTAGGCAGCGGATGCATGCGTGTGTGTACGTGTGTTTCCAATAATATTATGACTGGACCACTGTACACTAACCAGTGCGGCACAGAGTGCGGGCACCGTACACACGCATGCAGCCACGGTCGGCCACTGCCGGCCACACAGGCTTGCAAAATGGCGATAGCGCAGCAGCCAAGTATAAAATATTTTGTACCGGGACGTCGGACAGCCAATTTTGTGAGTCCTGAGCCACTTCAGGTAAAGCAGCCATGTACATTATTAGTATTTGGCCTTCAGTTTGGGGCAATATTAAAAGTTCTTTATTGGGCAACTGAAAATGAAATTCGGGCAACCAGATTTCAATGCCCGAAGGGCAACTACACTTTTAAAAATTTTGCGAGGCCTGATGTAGAATAGTTAGGAGCTGACTTTATGTGCAAGACAAGATTGACTGTTCAACTCAGTGCTGATTGATCGATACAAAATCGTTAACTAATTAGAACATGGTCAAAATGGGGCGTTATCAAATGCACACATGTAAACAAAATGCTACATGTAAGAAAAATCGAAATTAGGTTATCAGGTACTCTCAAACTGTTAAAAAAATTTTCTCCACGGGCCTGATAAAACATCAAGCAGATAATTCAGATCAGGACTTCAATTTCCTTGGAATTATTAACGATGTGCAGGCGTCAGGCTGACGCAACATGTGGATATGGTGGCCTGCCCTAAGGAACATCTAAAATGTCAATTTCTTTTAAGACATTGAGACTTTCTTTTACGACATCGTACATTTCATGACATATCATATTTTTCCACAACCTTGCAATTTTCTTTCACAGCATCAAAATTTGTATACACACAATTTTGTTACAGTACGTACTCCTACCGGTATATTGTAAATTGTTCGTGGCAAATTGATACTATCTAAAGGTACCGGTATATTCCGAAGGGCTTGGTCAAAAGAAATTCCACACAGTGTCTTACATTTACGGACAAACCTATTTTGAAAACCCTGTTTGTTTCATCGGGTGCAGCACTGATTTTTGCCTTGCCTACGGTACATACGGTATGTACATGTATGTATTTCCCAGCAGTGAATAAAGCCATTGCGTTTTGTGCAAATCTGTCACATTAACTGCAGATCAAATAAAGTGAAAACTCACTGTAGGATATGTCCCGCACTGATTTCAGGCACACACAATTCCAGTGTGCGCGTTTGAGGAAACTTTTTGCCCAGAAATACATGTGCATGTGACTGGAAAATTGTCGTTATTCCAGTCACACATGTTACCATAATTTAGGACCAAAATTTTATACCCTGAAATTCCATCGCACTGAAGTTACACAAAAACAGCAAATTTTCAAAGTGTACATGTACGTACACGTGTACGTAGAACTTTGTGTGAACATTCTTATTCTATTTTTAACGACCTTTCCATCGAATATCATTCCGGGTAAATGCATTTTCGAGCCCAAATGAGCACATTGTCACAAAAGTGCTCCTTTCAACTCAACAGCATACCTTTTCCCTTACAATAAGTTACATGTGGGGTTCATTCCATATGAGCTCAACCATAGTCCAGAAATCTTTGACAGCCACCAACTCAATTTCTGTCAGTACCTTTCTATGTATAATGAACACTTGTGTGCAAAATATTAGGCCAGAACTTCTGAGGGTTTCTGAGATATGGCCCTCCAAAAATAGGGTGTCATGTTATTTTTGCACTCGCAAGTCACCAACGTTAATTTATAGGGTTTTTGGAGGCCAATATCTTGGAAACGAATCAGAGATTTGTGCTGAAAATACATACATACTACATACATGTACGCAAATGAAAACCTCTTTTGTATAACTTGAAAAGTTTTCCTGAAAATCAGATATGAAACTTGGGTCTTTTTATTCTTCATTGAGTGATCCTCAAGCTGATTGTTTTAAAAATTCAACAAGTCACTATATCCTTACCTTAATTTTCTCAGTACTTCCTTATGGTATATATTTGTACACTAGAATCTTAATTTGTAAAGCGTTTTCTATAACTCAATCTGGTACTGGTACTTACAGGAGAAAATATTCAAATCTGTCCCTTTTTCATGTGATTCCGTTACTGAAATTTCCCAAAAAGTTTTCTTCCTGTTACTATCAAATCTCTTACTTCATCTACCTACCAAGATTCTTAAACACTAACTTCAGTAATATCTTTACTAATTCCAAAACAGCGGTAACGGAATTACATTTGGTAACAGAATTACATAGATAACAGAATTACCCAGCTTCCATTTCTGAGGCTAGAGTAATTCTTTTTGTTTGTTTGTTTAATAATCAATCACAGGATGTACATGGTATAATACATTTTTTTTATTTTCAGTCCAATTTTAGACACTTTGGTCCAATGTTTATTGGGGGTATTTTTCATGTTTTTTCCTCCGTTTTCAGGTTTTCATTCCTTATGAAAATCATCTTTGTGTTCCAATTTTGCACACAGGGCTGTTTATTATAGTTTATTATGGTGGAGTATCATGTGGAATGTTAACACACTCATTCAGATAATCTGATATTCAAGAATGTCAATTTTTCAGGTAAAATTTGTTAAAATGTTGTAATTCCGTTACCAACCCATCTGCTTTTCCGGGGGAAAAATTTCAAGGATGGAGTATACATGTACCAATACATGTAGTCTTGGGAGACTGAAAATACAATGATCATAAACAAATGTTAGCTTTCATTGGGTAACCAAAACATTCTGGATATTTTCAAGATTAAACCATTTCAAGTAGGTGCTAACCTAATGATAGTTGTCATAATTGTTCAGCTTGACATCCAGTTGACTTGTATAATGGCTCTTTGTCAGCACACCTACAATATATTTATTTTTTTAAAATCTGATATAACAATTGGAATTTTTCAAGAAATTCCGTTACCACTAGCATTTCTGGTAAAAAAGGCAAGTATATCCAAAACATCCTGCTTGTAAATAGCTGACACCATATGCTATGAAAATTAGTATGAACAATAAAGCTAAGGTGTTATAGATTTCATGGAAATTCTTCTG